TACATTTCTTTTTATATTTACTCTTATCTAGTGTCTGGGAAACATTGTTGTATCAACCACTTTTGTTTTATCTATTATATTTCCAATTTTGTGAAGCGCCTACCCACTATCTTTTATTTTCTTTACATTTTTGTTTTACATACATGCTCTGGTCCCATTGTGTACTTAAAAGTGGGGTATTCCTGTATATGTGTGTGTGTGTGTGTGTATTGAGTGGGAATTGCTAGAACAACACAATCCAACACTGTGGATATTTAGCTATTCTGAACGAAATGTGTTGATAGTAGTTGTAGCACTGACATCCTGAGCTACTACAAGTTCATAACAATACTCATTTTCCCTGTTATTTCACCTAGGTATTGCTATACCTGCCAGACGCATGTTCCCCCAAGATGCAATCATTGCTACAACTGCAATGTCTGTGTCCTTCGACGTGACCATCACTGTGCTCTTCTTGGACAGTGTGTAGGGCATTCAAACTATCGCTATTTTTTTTGTACCCTGTTTCATGGCTGGTTGGCTCTGCTTCTTGCGACCGTTCTTAATGCTGAGATATTTATGGAACTACTCAATGAAGGCATCAGCTTCCACAGCTTTTTCCTGCTTCTGATGCCTTGGATGATGCTAGTCACAGGTATGTGTATTTTATTCATAAAACCTATATGACTATGATAAATGAAAAATAGATAATTTCCTAAAATATTATAGTTTGGTAAACCAGGGTGCCATGGTGATACCGATTGGGACCTGAAATAGAGCATTTATCTCTGTCCTGATGAGGGAAAAAAACAAAACACTTCCTATGGCCTGTTCCACAAAGACTGTTAGTGAGCAAAAGCTGTCTCTGCGTTTTGAAACAGCAGGGACAGCTTCTGAGATCCCCACCTGTATAGTATATTGACTCACAATGCTGGGAGAATGGAACTTTATATCACCTTCTCTAAGCACTATGAGTATAAATGCTGTCTGGGAGAGCAAGGGGATCCCAGTAGCTGCCTTTGCTATTGCAGCACACAGAGACATCTTGTTAGATATCATGGACAGAATGTTGTATATTCCTATCTTCTCTTCGTACTCACTACTGACAAAGTGAACCGCTTGGGAAGACAAATCAGAATTATTTGAATTTTTATTCTTTTTTTTCAATTTGAAATTTTATTTTCATAAAGACAAGGAAATGGGGTACAGAAGAGAAGGGGGAGCTTCAAACGTACATAGTGGGGTTGTACAATCTTTGCTATACATGTAATGACATATAACTTTAATCAAGGGGGGGGGAGGAACAGAAAGGAAGGAGAGGGGGGGGTGACACCCTTGACACAACCTAACATTTCTCACTTAGTATTTACACTGATTTCGAGGTGTTTCAGTGGGTGGTGCGCGTGGGAGGGGCTCCTGGTGGTCGGGGAGTTCGCTCATGTAGCTACGTACGGTGTCGTTGTACTGAATTTTGTGAGGTCGGTTTGTTACAATATTGTTCAAAGTCCCCTATCTCCGGGAGGGGGGAGGGTGTCGCCGCTGAGCAGGGTGTCTGTATTGTGTTATGAGGTTAGAGAGGGGGGGGCAGGAAAGTGGGGGGTTCCAGTGTATTGGAGGGCAGGTGATAGGTGGAAGGGGGTAGCAGCGTGGTACCGGTTTGCGGCTGCTGGTGGGTCCTAAGGTCATGACCTCTATGTTACAGGATAGTCTGGTAAGTGTGTCGGGAGATCGGTGCTGGTTTAAAGGGTGTTGTCCTTTTGGCAGCCAGTGCTGTGGCTTCTCTGTGGGCCTATGAAGAACTGTGTTGGTGTTGTGTGAGTTGTTGTGTGTAGTTTCGCCATATCGTGGCGGTGTAGGGGCTTAGTTTCCCGATTTTTGCCTGCTTCCACATGATGAGTTCGTACTCCATTGCCAGTGTCACTTCTATTTCAACTTCTCGGATGGAGGGCAAGTCCGCTGTTTTCCATTTTCTGGCTATTAATATGGACACCGTGCCCAGGATGAGGTATATCAATTTCTTGATCGGTTTTGGAAAGTCGTCTGGAAGCAATCGGAGTAGCATTGTTTTAGGGTCAAGAGCTAATTGGAGATTTGTGACATTCCTTATAAGTCGGGCTGTAGCTTTCCATAGATCTTGCACACTGTCGCATGTCCTCCACATATGTATCATAGTTCCCTTAGTAGCGTGGCAGCGCCAGCATAGGTCTGGAGTGTCGGGGAATATGGTGTGCAGTCGGGTCGGTACCATGTACCATCGGTATAAGATTTTCCTGGATGCTTCCAGGTGTGCTGTACTTGTTGTCAGCCCTACATGAGAAGTGAAAATCTTTTCCCAGTCTTTTGGGGATATTGTGACTTGGAGGTCTGTCTGCCAGTCCTGCATGAACTTCCATGTGACGTTGTTTTTAGGGTTGGCAAGGTAGTCGTAACAGGTGGAGACCGTTTTCTTCGGGGGGTCTAGGGAGAGGCATTGCGCTTCAAATTTCGTTATGGATGATCTCAGTGAGTGTTCCATATCTGTGATTACGTTGTGGGTTATCAGTGCTTTGATTTGTAGATAAGCGAATGTGTAGTTCGGGGATAGGGCAAATTCTTTCTGTAGGTCTGGGAACGTTTTGAGACCCTCCTTGGTGCACAGTTGGTAGACATGTGTAATTCCTTTTTCTTCCCACTTGTGATGTGGGAATGTGCCATTGCATTGGTGCAGGGTCCGGATTGGAGTTGCCAGGGCCCACGGGTGTGCTGAGCACAATAGGTCCCTGTAGGTGTCCCATATTGTAAGGAGGCGTTTTGTGTTCAGCATGGTTGTAGGTTTCTGTCTTAAGTGCCGGGGTATCCAGAGCATTGTTGGCAGGTCCTGGTTCCCAGTATAATTATTCTCTATCGCTACCCATTGGGGGTTGTATGTGGCCGAGTGGGCGCTGATCACATTCGTAAGGATGACGGAGTGATAATACGCTTTGATATTAGGAAAGCCCATTCCCCCATGTTTCGCATTCCTCAGCAGTAGTGATTTGGGGACTCGAGGGTGTTTGCTGCCCCAGCTGTATCTGAGGAGGGTGGCCTGTAGTTTTGTGAGATAGCTTTGTGGGATTTTGATTTGTAGCGTCCGGAAGAGATAGAGAATTTTAGGTAGAATTGTCATTTTCAATGCCGCTATTCTTCCAACCCATGATAGGTATAGGCCCTTCCATGTTTGCAGTTGGGTGTCTATATCTTTGTGCAGTTTTGTGTAGTTGGTAGGAAATAGCTCATTTTCTCTGTGGGTTATTTTGACACCCAGGTACACCAGATAGTCTTCCCTCCAGTCAAAGCAATGGCCGGATTTCAGGAGTGTTTCTATGTGTTTTGGTGTGTTGAGGCACATTGCTTGTGTTTTAGCCACGTTGAGCTTGTAATAAGACTGTTGGCTGTATGCGTGTATTTCTTTGTGCAAGGAGGGGAGTGTTATGAGTGGCTGTGTGAGTGTGAGGAGGATATCATCGGCGAATAAGCTTAGTTTGTATTCTGTCTGGCCTACTGGTACACCACGGATGGAATCATTGGACCGAATTGCTATTGCCAAGGGTTCCAAGGCTAACACATAAAGGAGAGGGGACAATGGGCATCCTTGTCGGGTTCCATTTGTAATGGGGAAGGCCTGTGAGCTAAATCCCGAGGTGAGTACCGTCGCCCTGGGGTCACTGTACAGGGCTCTGACTGCAGAGAGGAAGGGGGCTGGGAAGCCGTAAGCCTGTAGGGTTTCCTGAAGGAATTGCCAGTTCAGGCGATCGAACGCCTTCTCGGCGTCTAGGGATAGCATAACACTCGGTTGTTTGGTGTTTTTTAATATTTTGTATAGGTCCAGTACTTTCCTGGTGTCAGAATTATTTGAATTTTAAGTAGCAGTATATGTGTGTTTGTGTCTAGATATATCATGCTTAGACCGACCATTTAATGGACCTGACATCTATAGAGGCACTTACATATAAGCAATTTAAAAAATATTACATTCTTCCCCAAAATGTTGCCACAAGTTAATAAAAATAATTTCCTGTACATGGTCTACCTGAAATTAACATCTTATCATAGTGAGACTTGAAATGTGTAGAAAGATGTTGGGTATTGTACAGCTTGTCATACATTAGCAGTGCACTGGGTCTTCTTAATACTCATATGCATGTTTCGGACATTCTCTGTTCTATAAGAAAGGCGAAGCAGGTAAAATGGGCTGTCACTTAAGGCATGTGAATGGCTCCGACACGCCAAGTAATAAACTTCATATGTTGCTTCTCTCAAAGAAATAAAATATCCTTGACTGTACATTTAGTTGCACATAAATCCTGCAAAGCCGATATTTTTTTTGTTTTTGTTTGTTTTTTACCAAAACATTACCTGTCTATCAGGATGTTTTTATGAATTCATCAATTCATTTCAATAAATAATGTTATGGTATGATTTTGACTTTTTCAATGTTATTCACTTATAGTGAGAATTCAAGGTTAATTCAAAATGCATTTCAAATTTAAGGTGAAAATAGCTCCAAGAATACGTTCTGTCCGTTATGCTTTCAGTACAGCTATTCTTTGAAATTCACTTTGCATTCTTACTTTAGAAAAAAACTAAACGGTTTGTGTGTGTGTATATAAAATCATGGAATATTAAAATGATGTGTAGTCACAATGCAAACGTTTTATTGTTACCACTAAAGGATGGGGTCCATACAATCGTTAACAGTTTTTTCTTCATTTTAGGTCAAGTCACTCCGTCAACCTTCATTTTTGCATTTGTGGCCGACACTTGTGTTGTGGGCTTTCTCTTCTGTTTTGCTTTTCTCGTCTTACATTGTTCTCTTCTACATTCTGGAGCTACAACCAAAGAATGGTTTGGTGGTCATGCACGTGCTTATGACCATGGCTGGAAGACGAATGTCAGAAACTTTTTGGGAGAGCGGTGGTACCTTATCTGGGTTTCTCCTTGGATAGAATCACAGTTAATTGGTGATGGTATTCATTTTACAGCTAGAAACATTGTTCAACCCAAGTCATCTCATCTTTAACTGTCATGTATGGGATAACAAGACATCCCATTTATAAAATGGTAAGTGAACTAGTTTCTCTAATGCCATTGGCCCCATACTCCTACAAAGGCTGGCAAATGGAACAATTGTTGCCCTGAGTCACTAGCACGGGAGGGCTGACAAGAGGAGCATTGGCTGCAGCCTCACACCCTTCTTGTGCAGTTTAAAATAGCAAATTTCAGATTTCAGAAATTTCAGATTAATAATAGTTTTGACTTTGCTGGCACAGGGAATGTTTGTAAAGCATGCAGAGACCTCTGCAAGTGATCTTTCACTCTACGTAGGTCATATTGATTGAGGTTGCAGGAATTTATGATGTCAGAACCTGCAACTTAAAGGACCGCTATAGGCACCCAGACCACTTCAGCTCAATGAAGTGGTCTGGGTGCCAGGTCCATCTAGGATTAACCCTGCCTGCTGTAAACATAGCAGTTTCAGAGAAACTGCTATGTTTACATATGGGTTAATCCAGCCTCTAGTGGCTGTCTCATTGACAGGCGCTTCCACGCTTCTCACTGTGATTTTCACAGTGAGAAGATGCCAGCGTCCATAGGAAAGCATTGAGAATGCTTTCCCATGGAGTGGCTGAATGCGCGCGCAGCTCTTGTCGCGCATGCGCATTCAGCCGATAACGTCAGAAGGAGGAGGAGAGTCCCCAGCACCAAGGGAGCCCGGCGCTGGAGAAAGGTGAGTGTTTAACCCCCTTCCTCCCTCTTCAGCCTGGCGGGAGTGGGACCGTGAGGGTGGGGGCACCCTCAGGGCATTATAGTGCCAGGAAAACGAGTTTGTTTTCCTGGCACAATAGGGGTCCTTTAATTTGTCATTTTCATATGTTGTGTGTTTCGTATGAGATCTGAGTCTCAAGACCATTCGGTCTCTGAATCTCAAGACCATTGCCAGCTATCCTCTGCCATACATATTGTTTATAATATAAGGTAGCATGGGCAATAAAAAAAAAAAAATGTCAAGTTGGCTTCCAAATAGATCTGTATCTTTTTTTTGTTGTCCTGCAGAACAGACTTCCTAGTTAATGGAGATATGCACATGTCCCAGAGATAAGACCATCATATCATACTTAAAAATGTATACTTTCTTCTTTTTCAGATTTTGATTGAAAATCCGCAGCTGAGAATTTGTCTTTGGGGACATCCATTAGACAGCTGTATATAAGTTAAATATTGTTTCATATGTACAGAAATATGGTACTCTATTGTGTGTCTGTGTGCATACATACTATAAATAAGGAGTAAACTTTTTTATATAATCCTTCCAAAGAATGTCTTAATTCATGCCTTCCAAACAGAATACACATTTCACTTTTATTTAGATAGATATTTGGCACTTTGAATTGAAAGAGGCTGTTCAGTCTGCTTGGCAAAACCTTTTGATCAACACAGTTGCACATTATCACAATGATTTTTTTTTAAATGTTTATATTTCTTAGCAGACTCCAGGCATGTTGGCAAAATGTTGTTATGGCACATTGCCCAAATTAAAAAAATAAATATATATATCATTATTTAGCAAGTGTACCCCTAGTGAAAATATGTAAACACAAAGAGGAAACTGATGGTGAAGTATGTAAAGAATAGAGTAAGGGGAGTGTAAATAAAATTATGCATTCACACTCTATAGGAGTTTAGGTACAGCTCCAACGTCTAAGTTACCCTAACTTTCTTTTTTTATTTGATGTATATCTAAAAACAACTTTCAAAAGATACAGATCTCATGTCTGCGACCTTCTGTCCAATCACCGACTTCTTAATGCAGCTCAATGAGAAGTCTATACAAGGCAGTTTAGTTCTAGTGAGACAAACAACCAGGAAGTAACAGGACCGATTGTCTGACAGCCAGGGGAGTGTAACAATGTTAACCCCTTAATGACAGCGGGCATGCTATGCCGTCCGCTCTAAAAGCCAGCGGGTGGCATAGCACGTCCACGCTGTCCAGGGGACTTACCTGCATTTTTCACACACAAATGGCACTAACACTGACAATATAATTATTATACGGTTTTGACACACTGATATTTGTGTTCAGCAAAGTCTTCTGAGTATAACAGTACCCCTCGTGTACAGGTTTTATGGTGTTTTCAAAAGTTACAGAGTCAAATATAAGGCTTGTGTTTCAGTTTTTTTTCACATTGAAATTCGCCAGATTGGTTATGTTGCCTTTGAGACCATATGGTAGCCCAGGAATGAGAATTACCCCCATGATGGCATACCATTTACAATAGTAGACAACTAAAGGTATTGCAAATGGGGCATGTCCAGTCTTTTTTAGTAGCCATTTAGTCACAAACACTGGCCAAAATTGGAGTTCAATTTAGTGTTTTTGCATTTTTCACACACAAACAAATAACGCTATCTTTGGCCAGTGTTTATGCTGAAGACACACTTTTCACACATAAAGCCCCTTTAGCATGCTAAAGTGTTTTAAGTGTTTGAAGTATTCCTTTAAGCAGTTTGACTATTCATGTGGGATGGCAATAGTACATTATTGGCACCATAACCACTACAGTAGTGTATTATGTAGCTTGAAGTGTTCATTAAACATCTGTGTGCACTTTGGGGGGGTATCTTTGATGCCAATATTTTGCATGTAAGATAAATGCTAAACTGTTTTGGAATGAATATGTTACCAACTAGTGTCCCTGGTGTTTATAAGCTGTCAGCTATGTTTTCAGTTCAGCTGTTTGGCTCTAGTATGATGTGATGCTATCTATAAATTAAACATTATAAATCCACCGTATTTGTACACCAGCGGGGAGGACAATCTTGAGTGCTGGCTATTCTTAGCTGTTTTTCAGAAGCTGTCAAACTGCATCCTGCAGATTAAGAACAATGCAGGGAGTTCAGGACAGGGAGGTAATTTATTTAGAAGTCTTACCATAGGCATCACTGAACTCTGCAATCTATGACTGCATTCCTATTTTTTTCCCCAGAAGACATTAACAGTTTTTTTTCAAGGGAAAATAGCCTGCCAGAGGCTTCTCAATGGAAAGCCTCTGGAACTATCATCTGTGCACACTCACCATGCTGGTATGATCTGAGGTCTGTGAAGAAGTTATGGGCGAATGGAGAGGTGGGGGCTATTGACAGCCAGGAAGTGTTTCATTATTTAGAAAAGTGCCTTTGAAATGGGATACTCCTCACCCATATAGAATTCAGCAAGTGCTTCGTGGGTGTGGAGGTGTCCTGTAACAACTGGAGTGTGAAAGATAGAATTAAACGTAGAAATATACAACTGGGTGCCTCCATCTTTGCTACATGTCAGTCATTCTTATAAGCTCTGTCTTTAGGCACTCAGCACAGAGAAAGCATGCAAGGGGGAGGAGAAGTGAAAACATTAATTCTATTTTTCTTGCTCATTTGCATTGTTTGCCCTGGCTTTACCTTGTCTGTACTTACTTATGGTGTCATTTGCTAAATCTTTATTATACAATTTAAAGAAAAACGTGTCTCTCACAAAAAAAAAATTAACAAAAGTGTTTTTAGTGGTGTATTTTCCAGGGAAGTAACAATTCCCCTTAAAGTATTTTTCATCCTAAAATGTCAGCACATCCTTCTATACCTATTCTATACTTATCTATTGGCATAAGTATACACTATAAGAGAGCGCACAAATACCATATTTTCCGGCGTATAAGACGACCCCCAACTTTTCCAGTTAAAATATAGAGTTTGGGATATACTCGCCGTATAAGACTACCCCTCTTCCAATGCACACCAAATAAAAATTAGCCATGATGTACAGTGAGCAGACAGAGCTACACAGCAAGACATTAAATAATGATAATCTGAAATGGCATTTAAAGTCCAGGTATGTGCCAGGCTGTTTGGGCATATAATCCATGCCTGCTGGTCTAGCACACAGGAGGCTAATTTTTTTTACTCCATTCTTTTTACTCCCCCCCTCCATTTTTTTTACTCCCCCCCATTCTTTTTACTCCCCTCCCCCAATCCTCCCTACATTCTTCTCACCTCCCCTTCCCTGTGCAGAGTGGGTGGCCGAGCTCCTCTTCGTCCTGTCAGTCCGGGTACTGCACGGTACAGGAAATTCAGTTACCTGTTCCCGGCCGGACTGAAAGGAAGTGAGCACTGAATCTGAGAACTGAATCTCTTGTACCGCGCGGTACCCGGCCGGACTGACAGGACGAAGAGGAGCTCGGCCACCCACTCTGCACAGGGAAGGGGAGGTGAGAAGAGAGGCAGTGCGGCAGCCATCTGAGCGCTCTCTATAGAGCGCTCAGGTGGCTGCAGCATTAGAAGGGCCGGCTATGGGAGTGCAGGGTGCCGCCAGCAGCCATATAGACCCTATACCCGGCGTATAAGACGACCCCCGACTTTGGAGAAGATTTTTCAGGGTTAAAAAGTAATCTTATACACCAGAAAATACAGTATGTTAAATAAAAGTGGTCCCAGAACAGAGCCCTGAGGGAAACCACTTACCACTTTTTTCCAGCTTTAAAATTTACCATTAATAACAACTCTTTTTCTAAGCCAATGCTCTACCTAAGAACAAACTTTCTTCATCTGTTGTGTGGAACAATATTACATGCCCTGGCAAAATCCAAGTAGATCACATCCACTGCAACACCCTGATCTATGCGTCTACTTACTTCTTCATAGAATGCAATTAAGTTAGTTTGACATGACCTATGTTTCATAAATCCATGCTGATTTTTGCCAATAATAATATTCTTCTCAAGGAATTCCTGAATAGTATCCTTTAATAACATTCCAACTACTTTCTCACACACAGAAGTTAAGCTCACAAATCTTTAATTTTCCTTTTTTGAATATAGGAACCACATCTGCCTTCCTCCAATCTCTAGTATAATCCCTGAAAACAAATAATCTTAAAAGAATAAAAACAGAGTGTCACTTATTTCCACACTTAGATCCTTAAGTACTCTTGGTTAAATATTATCAGGCCCTGGAGCTTTGTTTATATTAACTTTCTTTAGTTGCTGCAGCACCTTTTCTTGAATCATCAAATCACAATTTCATAGCAAGACAGGAGGCTTCATATTTGCTTAACCTTCTTTACTGAAAACCTCCAGCAACAAAGAAATAGTTAACATAACTTTTAAGAACAACCAATCAGAACAAAATAATAGCAGAATAAATCTCTCAGGCAAACCCTCCCACTTCTTCTTTCTTTGCTGCTACCTCCAGGTAAGCACTCCCCAACTCAGAGAGTGTGTCTGCTTTGGGTTATTTATTTAATTATTATATTTAATTATTGTTTTTCTTTAATTGTTAATACTATTATCTATGCTGTGTGCTGGGCTGCTTGTGGGTGTATATTCATACTGTATTTCTTTAGGATCTGGGACTGTCTGGGCTGACCTCACTCATGGGGCTTCCTCTGGCCGGCCCTTGTGCTGTGCACTCCCGCGGCACCCTCCAGGGTACTGCCATTTCCAGCCCCACTCCCACACTCCCCAGCTCTGTTCCACCATTTTTTGAGCCGCGGCGGCCATATTTTTGGAGCTGCTGGGCTCCCTGCACTTTGGGCAGTCTGGTCCTCCCCACCTCACTGCCCCTACTGCTGCTGGATATGTTGTCATCCTCTTCTTCCCCTGTTTCTCCCACAACTTGATGTTTTTTCTCCCACAGTTAAGTTCTTAAGGAGTTATATACTCCACAGTGGAGCAAGGCCTGTGGCCTATTCATGCATGGAGTGACCCCCCTTATATTATATGCTACTGGTACACTGGCATGCTATACTGTCCCCTGCTGGGTCACACTACTGTGGCATTTTTCTGGGTAGGGCGATCTCCTCCCTCTGCCCTGGATCCTATTATACTTACTCTGAGGGTGACCACCTCCTTTACTGGCCTATTTTGCATGATTGTGCTTGCTGGATGACCCACTCTTGCATGCTGAGTGACCCCCAGATGGCTTTACACAGGTACCACACTGACCGTATCTTACCTCTGTTTCACTGTCATTAGTTATGGCTGACAAATCTGACTTCAAGGCTTCCAAAGGCCTCCAAGCCTGGCTCTGTGCTGCACTGACGTACTCTCTACATTAAGACCTTGCTGCCTTCCATGTCAACGCTCCACCTACCTCTATGGGACCCATGCCCGGCACCTCTGCGGCTTGGAACTCTGACTTAGGTGGCTCCCTCTGCTCTGTGGACATGGGCACAGCACACAAAAGACCTTGGACAAGTCAAGGCACGATCACTGGCAAGGGAAATATGTCAGCCAAGCTAGCCAAACAGGGCTCTGGTTCCGGTGGTTGCCTAAATGAAGACATGTACTCTGAGGCAACTGGCTAGGACATCCTGGGCGAGTAGAAAGCTAGCAGTAGCTCGGGTAATGCATCACCCGGTGAGGGTTTCTTGGCCGACCCTCACCCTACATGAGGGAGACAGTTTTGGGCTCCCCTACAACTGACGCGCTGAAGGCTACCTTGGCAACCGCTGACACCCTATGAAAGATCTTGGACCCTTCTTGTCGCCCGCTCTTTGACCCACATCTCCTCAAACATCCTTGTTCCGCAGAATGGGCTCCCCCAGACCACATTGCAGAATATCTACGTTACTGGCTTTGCTGCAATTTGGATAAGGAGGGCCAAATGCCCCTGCCCAACCCTAACAGATAAAGTGGCCCTTACCACTGATTTTGACCCAATGTTCGCCACCTTCATGACAAGATCCCGGAAGGATTCACGCAAAGGCCTGTGTCTACACTCAGCCAAGGATAAACTACTCAATATCAGTGGTCTGTTGACACAGATCTTATGGCGGATGATGCCTGGCACCGTGGAGCTCCAGTTGACGCTCATCTCCACCAGGAGTGGGCCCGAAGTGCTATATGTCTACTGGGCAATGCCAATGTGTCCCTCAACTCAGAACACCACAAGGCAGCCCTTTACAAGCTGGATGGCAAGCTGGCTGACTTGGCCTCTAATGAATTGGGTCTTAACTCCAAAGGCCTACTCTTTGGTGACACCGTTATGGAGGAATTGAACTGTCACATTTCCATTAATACATCCCTCAACAAAGCTTAACTGTTTCTCAAAAGGGTCTTCCGTTCAGAGGACTGTTTTTCCTACAGGGCTGGTCAGCAGAGGGGCTGCACCACCAGCAGAGCTGCCTTCACGGGCAACAAAGTCTGCTGGTGGTGCAGCCATCTCAAAGTCTTTCTCCTCATCCTCATCTCGATACCAGTACCGCCCGCTGTTTCCAAAAGGGTCCTGCGGAGGCTGAGGTGCTTCGTCCACATGGGCCAAATATGTCTCAGGTAAGAGTCACTTCTTATTTGCCAAACATACCCAGTGGTAGGCCATCACTGGAGATCCGTGGGTTATGCAGATCCTGTCCGGATTCCGGATCAATTTAGTTGAACCTCCGATACAAGCCCCCACCCCATGGCCGATAAGGTATGGACATTGAGGCTTCCGATCTGGTTCACTCGGAAATTCTATCCCTTCTGTACAAGGGCACATTGTCCCCCCCCCCGCAGCCCTAATAACAATAAGGGGGGACCTATTGCCCCCCCCCCGGCCCCCACCCCTGAGTGGTGGGTGGGGGCCCTAAAATGAAAAATAAGGGGGGGACCTATTGTCACCCCCGGCCCCCACCACTGAGCGGTGGGTGGGGGCCCTAAAATGAAAAATAAGAGGGGGACCTATTGTCCCCCCCACCCCCACCCCTGCGCAGCGGGTCGGGGCCATATTGATAATGAGGAGGGGGACCTACTGCCCCCCCCGGCCCCCACCCCTGCGCGGCAGGTGGGGGCCATATTGATAATGAGGGGGGGACCTACTGCCCCCCCCGGCCATCCAATCACAGTGTCATTTTACACAGCGTGGGAAAGTTCTTTGGAATTTTCCCACGCTGTGTAAAATGACACAGAGCACTCTGATTGACTTAAACCAACCAATCAGAGTGTTCTTAGCCTAATTGCAGGGCGTGGCAAGGCTTTATAAGCCTTCCCCCGCCCTGCAGAGCTCAGTCTGCGCGGAGCCCTCCATGGGTGAAGATGGATTATTTTTTTGCGCTCTGGTTTTTTCTTTTTCGTCTGGTTTTTGTTTTTGCGCTCTGGATTTTTATTTTATTTTCAATTCGACGGTTATGATGGTTTTTTATTTGGCCTTTTTTTGGGCTGAAAAATGAAGATTTGAGAAAAAAGAAGACGTTGAATGGTAAGTTTACTTTTATTTTACAGGTTAGTTATTTTATTCCCCCCTCACTATTTTTTAGGGTGAGGGGGGTAGGTAGGGACTTTTTATTTGGGGGGGTGACTAGGGGCTTGGGGACCCCTAGTCACCTGGGGGGGAATTTACTTAGGGCCCCCACCCACAGCCCAGGGGTGGGGGAAGGGGGGGGAGGACAGTAGGTCCCCCCCTCATTATCTTTGTGGCCCCCACCCGCCGCCCAGGGGTGGGGCCGGGGGGGAGGACAGTAGGTCCCCCCCTCATTATCTTTGTGGACCCCACCCGCCGCCCAGGGGTGGGGGCCGGGGGGGAGGACAGAAGGTCCCCCCTCTCATTATCAATATGGCCCCCACCCGCCGCGCAGGGGTGGGGGCCAGAGGTGGCAGTAGGTCCCCCCCTCATTATCAATATGGCCCCCACCCGCCACGCAGGGGTGGGGGCCGGGAGGGGGCATTAGGTCCCCCCCCTCATTATCAATATGGCCCCTCATTTTAGGACCCCCACCCACCACTCAGGGGTGGGGGCCGGGGGGGATAATAGGTCCCCCCCTTATTGTTCATTTTAGGGCCCCCACCCACCGCTCAGGGGTGGGGGCCGGGGGGAGGCCAATAGGTCCCCCCATTAGTATTTAGGGCCCCCACCGGGGGGGACCCCTTTTTCTTTTAAACAGTGAGCAGCCAGAGGCTGCTCATTGTTTAATAGACATGCCCCTACTCGCAGTATTGCGAGTAGGGGCACAATTTACTAATACTAAGTAATTTTTACTTAGTATTAGTAAATTAATAGGGGGCGGACCGAACATCGCATATGTTCGCCGGCGGCGGCGAACGCGAACATGCTATCTCCGCCAGGAACTATTCGCCAGCGAACCATTCAGGACATCACTAGTTATCAGTTGAAATATATTAGCAGGTTTATAAGTTGAAAAGACTTTGATATGCTGAAATAGACCTGCAAAACTCTTTAATCCCTAGAGGATAATTGATACTAAGGGTCGGAAGAGCTAAAAGCAGGTTGAGGG